TGTAATTTTTGTTGGACAAGTAATTGCTTGGTTTGTACTTCGTCATCCTTCATATCCTCCCTCCATTCTTTATGTAGCATGGGCAAGCACAAAACCGAGGCGTTTTTTCTCTCTGGCTTAATTCCAACTGGTTCAGTTCAACCACTTTGACTGGTTCGGGCTTAGACGTCTCGAGCGGAGTTGAACCGAACTGGTATGATGCAGACTTATTCACAACTTATTAGTTCACTGCACTATGTGAATCAAAACACACACACACACACACACACACACACACACACACACACACACACACACACACACACATGTGCACGCACACACGCACACACAGGCACATCCACACGCGCACCCCATGCACACGCCCATGACCACTCATACACGCATGCACACGTGCACATGTGCACGCAAGCGCGCGCGCGCACACACACACATAGGCATGAGCATTTGACCCGACCAACCCGATTTGGGCAGGCCAGGCGGCTACTGGGTCGGGACGGGTCTCCTCAGCCCCAGGTCAGAGATTCCAAAAAGCCTGACCCGTCCCAGCCTTGAAGGACCACCCGCCCCGGGTCGGGTCGAGTACAGAAACAGCTTCCGCCCACGCTCAGCGCGGATGGGCAATTTTGTCAGTCAATATGATTTCGCCACTAGCTGAGTGAGGAAAGTCATGACTCATGACCCCCTCCTCCCCGTCAATATAGATGGGACAGAAAATCCCAACCAATTCGCCACCACTTACCACTCGTCACCACACCGGATCTACAAGACCCAACTCTTTCAAACAATTCCACAGATCTCAAAATTGTGCTCAGCCCAACTTCAGCGTCAACTTTTACCCATAGCTAATATCCTCCACCCAGCTGTGGAGTTCGGCGGCTAGTTTAGCTCCTAAGAGACCAGCCCAGTTCCAATTATCAGGCCAAGTATATCCAGGTCCAACCTGGCCAGGTCGGCATTTTGGAAATGTTGACTAGACGTAAACAAAAACCAGGGTCGAGCAGGATCGACCCGACCTGGCCGGGTCCGATGTTCATGCGTACACACACACACACACACACACACACACACACACACACACACACACACACACACACACACACACACACAAACACACACACAAATTGTGACTAAAACATTGGCTCTGGTAGAACTGAACCAGACTCATTTTCATTCAAACTGCCTTCGGTTCCAGATGAGCAAGACCAGAACTGACTCTGGTTCGGTGCTTGCTTCACTAGAGGGGAATCGCATAAGATAAGCTGTAAGCCATAGAGCCATGAATCAGCCAACACATTAGTACGAAATCTTTTACTCACATATAAGTAAGCTTAGCCAGGGACATGAAGGAATCGGGGATGCGCCCTGTGAGGTTATTTATATTGAAACCACTGGACCAGGGAATGGCCACGTGAATGGGCAGGTCATTGGCAGTTGAATGTGCAGATGAGCAAGCAGATATGTGGTGATGCAAGAACAGAGAATTCGAGGGAGGGCAAACAAAACATTAGGAACTGGGGGGCTAGGAACAGAGACGAGGGGATAGGAGAGGAGAGGAGATGATAGGGTTGGAGAGGAGAGGCGAGGAGAGGAAAGGAGAGGAGATGCGAGGAATAAGAGTAGCACAGATGCAGCAGCTTTCGAGAGAGAAGAGAAGCACAAAAGGGGATAGGGGGTACAACGAATGGGAGCCAACCAAATAACATCAATAAGGTCAGGTCGACTAAATAACCTAATAACCAGGCCTGCCAGCCGCGAACTTGCTCTGATCTGCACAGATTGGTCACCAAGTTCAACGATACGCGCGGATTGGCAGTCGAAATGGGCTGATCAGAGCAGATCGGCCACCAAAAATTGCCAATTCTTGTGGACTAGTGGTCGAAATTGCCAATCCGCACGAATCAGCGGGGGGCGATCGCCGGCCGACCAGACTCCAAGTTAGGTTTTGGCGGATCGCAGCTGTGTCAGCTATCCCGGGGTCCCGGGCCAACACGACCCGTACCCGGCCCGACCAGTACCCACTTCGGGACGAGCAAACTCAGATCGGGTTGGGACTGGGCAACCCAATGCTCATGCCTGCATCAGAAGCAGACCAGAACGTTTAACTACATGCAATTCTGAAATTGCCAAGGCATGCAAGGTGCATTTATCACTTCCAAAAATAAACAGAAGAGGTATACACACACAGGTGCTTACGAGGGGCTTGAGGAGAAAGAAAGGGCTTACACGGCCTCCAGATTTGTCAGTGAGCCAAGGCCAGAAGGGATAGAGCCGCTGAGATCATTGGTGTACAAATAGCTGTGGTGGTTGAGGATGGGAAAATAAGGTGAAAAGGGTTGATAGAAACCCTCTCAAAATATGGTCCTAAAGGTAAAGCTAGACATGGGCAAACACTCAAACTCCCGTTCGATTCAATTCGAACATGTTTAAGCCTGCGGCCCAAATTGCAATAATGCAGGTCAACCTTCATAAGGTCAAAATTGTTGTGATTCGTCCAGTTTTTTTTGTTAGAATCATCGGTTATGTAAGTTGCGAAGGAATTGATTGGCCAGGATTTTGTCAACGTTGTTTGGGAACAGTGTCCACATTTCAAAGCTACACAGGGCGACCTCATATTGAAGTGCTTGCACACAAAAAAAAAAAAAAAAAAAAAAAAAAAAAAAGACTCAACGCCAGCATTGTCCATCTCCTTGTGTGAACATTAGAGGACAAAATGGTTTGCCAGAAGAGGCTCACCTCCTTGTGCAAAAACATGCTTAGTGGCATCTCCATTGTCATCTCTGCTGTCACCTTCTACAGCTACTATCGTGATTCCTCTCCTTCTGGCCATCCTGTATGCTTTCTGCTTAGTCGATCTCTGCACCCCCCCAGAGCCTATGTTCGTCTCAATCTGTTGCCTCCTTCATATATCCATGGCATGGCATTCTCAATTCGTGTGCTTGCACTTCACCTGAGATAAAAAGCATGTTGAAGACATCCTCAAAAACAAAATGTCGAGACATGAGACGACTTTTGAGGCGCCTCAAAAGCTGTCTCATGTCTCGCGATAAATATCTTGGACGTCCTCAAAAACAGAATGTTCTCAGCCGGTGTGCATGCTGCTTACATGTACCCTAGTTTCTGGAGCCGACTGAAGACAGCAGGGATGCTGCCTGAAAGCTGGTTGCGGGAGACGTCTCTGAAAGGAAGCATCATGCACAGACAGCAACATGGCTCATTACTTGCGGGAGAGGTCTAGGAAGCATCAAGCCAAAAGAGCAACAGAAAGTCAAGGCCATCATAGCACTGCCTTTGAGCTTTAAGAAAAGAGCAACTTAAGAGAAAAGGAGGTGGGAAGGAAAAAGATGAGAAGTAGACTTCAACAAAAGCGATAAGGTCCGTATACTCTAACAGCATTGTTGACAGTCAAGGGAGGAAAAGGACATGAAATAGCAAGAACGGGAGCAGGAAATTGACAGTAAGAAAGGCAGAGGGCAGTTAGAAGAAAGGCAGTGACACTGACAAGCACAGGTGAGAAAATCTATCTGGAATACACTCAAGGAACGAAACTCAACTCAACGGAGAAGTAATGTTTTGAGACGTCTCAAAACTCTTCTTTCTTCACGTGATCTCTCTGGAATACACTCAAGGAACAAAACTCAACTCAACGGAGTAGTAATGCTAATGCTAATACAGGCGAAAAGGTGCCTGTGATTCAGACTTACAGTAATGTTAAGTCCGACATCGAGCCAATGCTAGCAGGTATGGATCCGGTGAGCTGATTGGCGAAGAGGTGCCTGTGGTTCAGACGAAAAACATGGAGACAGGAGGGGGAGAGAAGGGGGGCAAGGCCCCAGGTTTGAGGCATCTCAAAAACATGAAGACAGGAGGGGGAGAGAAGGGGCCAGGCCCCAGGTTTGAGACATCTCAAAAACATATGAGACGAGGGAAGAGAAGGGTTGGGCGTACACTTGCAAAGTTTTCTTCAGGGAGCCAATTTGAGCAGGAATGGAGCCGGTGAGCGAGTTGTTGTAGAGTCCCCTGAATGGAGAAAGACAAAGAGATGAATGGCATGCCCTAAGAGGCCGTGGCAGCAGTGTGGAGCGCCATGTGCGTAGACATTTCACCACGTGCAAAGACATTTCACCACGTGCGTAGACATTTCACCACGTGCGTAGACATTTCACCGCGCGCGTAGACATTTCACCACGTGCATAGACATTTCACCACGTGCGTAGAAATTTCACCACGTGCGTAGACATTTCACCATGTGGACAAGCATATAACCACATGGACAAACATATTACTGCATATAACTGATTCAGTTGGACCAAGAATCACCGTGAGAAAAACAGGTGACTAAGGGAATTGAAGAAAACTAGGCAGTAAATCTCACGGGAAACTAATTTATACGTTTTTTGAATCGATAAAAGACACGATTTTTTTGGCACCTAAATCATCATGAAAAGCAAAGCAGGTTGACCTTCGCTTGTTCGCTGCTCCTTACAGAAAAGTTAAGCGAGTGAGAGCACCGATGCTAGTGGGGATGGTGCCTGTGAGCTCAGAATGCGCCCTATTGCTGCAAGGAACATATGCAAGGACAAAGGAGACTGACAGAGTTGACGACGGTAAGCAGAGACAGAGCAAAAAGAGGAGCACTAGGGGTGGTTTAGAGTGGTGCAGGGTGGTGCAGAGCGGTGCAGGGTGGTTCAGAGTGGTGCAGGGTGATGGAGGGTGGTGCAGGGTGACGACCCATGAGTGAAAGAGGAGCAGGGTGAGTGAAAGAAGGTGAGGTGGGAATGGAGGATGAGGCGGGGAAAAGAGGTTGCGGTGGATGGGAATTGATAGAGGAGGCAGGAGAGGGTAGGACGATAGTGGCTGGAGACAAATCTACTCCCCAACCAACCACCCGTCCCCCAACCACCCATCCCCCAACCACCCTACTCCCAACCACCCATCTCCCAACCACCCATCTCCCAACCACCCTTCTCCCAACCCAACCGCCCTTCTCTCAAGCACTCAGCTCACATCTCAGTTATCATGCCATCCACGTCGCACTTGAGGCCGTACACATGGTCGCAGTCGGATGGAGGGTCGCTCCACCAATTTTTGGTGTCATTCAAAAATTTCACTGCGGGTTGTCGGGTGGAGGGAAGGCGGCGGGTTGCCAGGGAAATGGGTAGTGATGCTGGCATGGAATGTCTAGTCTTTTTTTTTTTTTTGTCGCAGTCCGCCTATTAATAGAAAGGGGATGGGAGTCGCTGGTGTTTTGCATCTCCCCCAACCCCACCCTTACTTTCTTCACTGCCAGGAAACGTTTTTTACTCTGCCCAACCCTGCATTTTTGCTGCGTATATGACTCCCATAGTTCCGTGTTTCTCATACATCCTGTCTGAAAAAATATGCTTTTGTATAACACGCGAAACGCGTATTGTCCAACTTTAGCGTGGCGGATTGTGAGGGGAAGGGGGCGGGTTGCGAGGGGAAGGGGGGGGGGAGAAGGGTTGGGAGGGGGAAGGGGGCGGGTTGGGGGGGTGTACAGTGGGTGAGGTCTGGGTGAATGGACCGTTCAGCTGGGGACCTCCACTCCAGGTTTCACGCCGTCTGCGAGTCGTTCAGAAATTGCACTACGTGTTGGGGGGAAGTGAAGGCGGCGCGTGTTGTGGGTTCCACTCCTTTCTAGCAGTGGCACCATCTCGGATTGCACTATCTAGCACCTCATATCACGAGGTTTGACCGGCATGTGTCCGACTGTTCCGGCAGATCAGCGACAATACCGTACCGTACCTTGCGAGGGATTGAACGGGACGGCGCTGGTCGTCACGAGGTTCGCGAGCAGGCCCAAGGTGACCCACCCTGCGAGCCATGCAAGTGGCATCGGCGGCGCCTGCTGCGCTGGCGAGTGGGGGTAGCACGCAGCACCTCCAAAGGAGCGCATCCTCTTTGGAGTGATCATGTCCGATAGGTGCTCCGAGTGAGACTGATTGAGGGGGGGGGAATGAGCGTGAGGGTGAGAATGGGAGAGAGTCAGTGCGAATGAGTGAGAATGAGAATGAGTGAGAGTGAGAATGAGTGAGAATGAGAATGAGTGAGAATGAGAATGAGAGAGAATGAGAATGAGTGAGAATGGGAATGAGTGAGAATGGGAATGAGTGAGTATGAGTGAGACTGAGATTGGGACTAAGTGGGTGAGTGAGAGGGAGAGTGAATGTGAGTGGGTACGAGTGAGAATGAGTTCCATCCCATTGGTACAGCCAGCCCCTGCCTTTGATGCAAGCAACCCACAGACGGCGGACCTACTCCGGGCACTTCACCTGCCCCCATCCCACCCTCTGTCCTCTGTCCTGCAGGCCATCCAAGCCCCCTATACCACGGAGATCCCCTTGCACGTACAAATGCGCAAGTGTCAACAGCTCCTGCCTGAAGCCGCGCATACCTTGTTGCGGTCGAGCTGCAGGTTCTTTTCAATGCCAACAGGTTCCTTACCTACCTCAAAGGGGACCGGGTGGAGTCCCTTATCGTCGGCTCTCTACATTGGCTCTCCACACCGGCTCTCCCACTTTAGGCAGCAGTGGGCGGTGGGCCTGCAACGAAGCCAAGCCAACGCCCTCCACGCCAAAGCGAATAGATTGGTAGCGGAGCCAAGCTGCCTCGTAACCTCAGATCAGACGGCAGCTGATCCTTGGCCCATCGCCTTGGGAGATCTCCTCTCCAGTCCAGAGGCCTAAGCGATTCCTGCCTCGCCCTGCCTCGCCCTGCCTCGCCCTGCCTCGCCCTGCCTCGCCCATCTGCCGACAGCATCCGTAGCACCACTCTGCTGTGACTGGGAGGTCACGGCACAGCCTCACCATACGGTCCAGGCGGCCCTCCCCACGCCTAATCCAGCCCCACAGTCTGACCACCCACCGTCGAGCGACACTCTCGCTCCCTCTGCCATTCATCGAGGGGGGAACCGAAGGCGTACCTGCTTGGAATCCAAGAGCGCCTACACACCAGGAGCCATACAGCCGCTTGTGCCTGGCTGAGCAGTCCTTGCACGCCGTAGCTGATCACTGTGTGATGAGACAGATTTTTTAGTCGACTCAAAAATCGTTTCTGCGCGCCGCAGCTGATCACTAGCGCAGTTACTCACCACATGGCGCGTAGTTGCATAGATGTAACTCGTGCTGCCTCACCTGTCTGGCGGTAGCTTTGCCTTGACTACCCATTATTGCTGTACCGTTAATAAGAGTCAATGGAAAGGACCGTTACAGAGAGACTGAAACTGAGACAGAATGAGAAAGTGAGGCTGAGACAAGACTGAGAGACTGACAAGCAGCGAGGGATGGCGCCAATACCCTGATGTTAAGCTGCCAGGCGGAGACGGTCGCAGAGCTTTCAACGGCCTTCGTGGCTTTCAAGCGGGATCTTCAGGCAGAACGAATGGGCCGCCGCGGGGCTCAAAGCCGCTGGCAGTCTGTGTGGACGGAGACGTGCGAAAAGCACTACTAGAGACCTGCTAGTAGTACAGAGTGCGCTGAGAAGCTCTAGAGCTAAACTTGTGGCGTTGAATCAAGTTTAGGTTTTGAATTTCTAGGTTTGTGATACAGCGGGTTCTCTCGTGCTATTGCGGAGTGGGCTCACCTCTCGATTCTCGACAAATCATTGGGTTGATGCAACGCAATGCAATGCAATGCATATTCCCCCTAGCAAATATATTCCGCGCTCAGCGCTCAGCAACGAGCGGAGCATGCGGATGCGCACACGTGTTCATTGGGAGAATTAACCCGTGCTGTTGTGGTTTCCCCAATGCTGCGCTCTCGTGTCCCGCACGCGCAATCGCTTCTCTGTTCCTCAAGAACCTCAACAGTCCAGAACTTACAGTTACTACTATAATCATGATGGTCCGACAAATGAGTCACCATGACCTCCAGCGCTACTACAACTCCATGAAAATCATCCCAAACGGACACCATGATGTCCCTTGCGCGACACTCTCAGCAGAGGGGATGACGACTTTTTCCCCTCAGTGAGCACTTAGGGGACATCAAGCTGAGTCGCTAACCCACTGATTACAGCTGCTGGGTGCGAAGTGTGCGGAGTTTACACGCTGAAATTTCGGAAATTACTGTTCCCGGACGGGCTGGGGCTGAGCTAGGAGGAAAGAAGGGGCCCCCTGCCACAGCGCCACCCGCGTATGGGCACACTCGACTCAAAGTGTTCCACTAATGAACCCCAACAAATTAACTAAATAAGGTCACACCTAACTATAGGATTAAAAACATGTCAGTCCGAAGCATGTTTTGGCATACTCGATACAGATCAACTTGGTTAATTTCAACATGTCAACATCTATGTTCGGTACCATCACACTTATTGGCTCGCCCATTGGCGCATACATGGAAATCTCTATAATCGCACGCTGTACTTTCTGTTGACACCAACACCTTGCCCCATAATGTCAGGGTATTTTACCCTGATTGCACTAACTGGCGGCCGCTTTTTTTTTTTTTACCCTGACCCAATCAGCCTCTCCGACTAATTACTATGACAAAAAAAACGTTGCTTTTGTTTCGCCCTTATTAAATTCGAATCAGCATTTCCCCTGACTTCATGAGTGTTTCAACCCAGTTGCCCTGATACCAGATCTTTCGTGGCGATGATATGGTGGATTTTGCGCAAAATAGTGCCAGAGAGCTCTGCACTACCCATTTTTTTCAGAACGAGCATTGAATTCATGACATTATCGTTCGTATAAACACTTCTAACTAGCTGAGCCACTTCACGACACTACGATTGTACACACGGAAGTTTAACACGCATAAGAGTATGAAACCCTGGTACACTGACTAAATCGGCTTAACACTTTTTTTTCCTTGTCTCCATTAGGGTACGAAAAAACATGGTGAGCCAAAACCAGTTTTGGGCCCCAATACTGAAAGTTGTATGAACGTACAATGCATTTGCTTGTGTATTGGTTAGGCTAATTTAGGTTGCGCCGTAGACTTATGGGTATGTATGCCCTCAATTATGCATTTTCATAGTTTCTGTCATGGTATCAGCTTACGTATCGCTTTCGCACCGACTACCTCCCTAGCTACCCTAGGCATTCTCCCTCCCTCCCTCCTGTCAAAATGTAATTTGTTGTATAGGCTTTAGTGGAGTACTCAATAGAGAATACAACCCTTTTAGGGTTTCCCATATGTACTCCACCATCCTGCTAGTACAATTCTCCTCCTTCCTAAAACCTAAGCCCTGACTTGACTTGCTATCAGAGCACGTCGACGCTGTTGGCCCCACCAATCGCTTTCGCTGTCTTTCTGCGAGTCGTGTCAAAGTTTGAAGGAAGAAAGAGGATTGAACTAGCAAGAATGAGGATACAAATAGCAAACCCTAGAAGGGTTGTACTCGCTATAGAGCACCCCACTACAGGCTAGAACAATAAGATAATATTCTGACACACCCCCATAGCCAAAGTGGGGTGTAATCAGCAGAGCAGGCAAAGCAAAACAAGCTCAGGGTGGATCACAATGTCACCACACATTCTGAGCACAAGTTCAAGAAGAAATAGTTTAGAGTTTACAATTATAAGCAAAGCTAGTGGTAGTCACAACGGGCAAGTGAGGAGGAGGAGGGAGAGTGAGGGGAGAGGAGACAGGAGGCGACGGCTGAAGCTGCAGACACACGGGCAACAGGAGGCAGACTGGCACAGCGGCTACCGGACAGCGCCCGGACTACAGGGGTAACAGGCCCCGCGGCTCAAATAGCGGCGGACGGGCAACGGACCCACGGGCGGCTGGCACAGCTGGCTACGACTGGGCTACCGGGACAGCGCCCCGGACTACAGGTGCTGCTGACGACAAACTGGCAACCTCCGCTCATCCTCCCGCACACAGTCCCACCCCCCTGATACACACCCACTGCTACACCACTAGCTCTACTCCCACGCACCCCCCTAAAACCCTAAACCCCAGTCTCCCACACAACCACCCCCCTCAGCGACAGCTGCAGCAGTGGGAGACGAAGGAGGAGGAGGAGAAAGGGAGGAAGGCACACCGGCCACCCCCATACCCGCCACCCCACAGCTCGCCCCTCCCGTCGTCCGTCGTGGCGACCTGAGGGGGCCGCTTGCGGCCCCCGAAGGAGCCGCGACGGGCGACGGGAAATGGGGGAAGGGGAGAAAGGGGGGGGGCCCACCACGGACCTGAGGGGAGGGCGGGGCCGCGACAAGGGGCGGGGCCGCTTCGAAGGGACGGGGCCGCGACGCAGGGCGGAGCCGCGACTGTAGGGCGGGGCCGCGACTGTAGGGCGGGGCCGCGACGAGGGCGGGGCCGTGTCGGTCGGGGCGGGGCCGCGACGTAGGGCAGACGCCCGCGAAGGTGGGGCGGGGCCGCGACGGTCGGGGCAGGGCCGCTTCGAGGGGCGGGGCCGCGACGCAGGGCGGGGCCGCGACATAGGGCGGGGCCGCGTCGAGGGGCGGGGCCGCGACGAAGGGGAGAAGCCCGACGTAGGGCGGGGCCGCGACGTAGAGCAGACGCCCGCCGCACGCCTCGGGGCGCACAGCGGGCAAAGAACCGCCGCGCGCCCTAGGGCGCACGGCGGGCAGAAAACCGCCGCGCGCCTCGGGGCGCACGGCGGGAAGGAAAAAAAATCGCCGCGCGCCTCGGGGCGCACGGCGGGAAGGACAGGTAGCAGCGGAAGCAAGGTGGGGACACACCCACAGGATCGATCCAAGGGGATCGACCTGCTCTGATAGCATGTCAAAGTTTGAAGAAAGAAAGAGGATTGAACTAGCAAGAATGAGGATACAAATAGCAAACCCTAGAAGGGTTGTACTCGCTATAGAGCACCCCACTACAGGCTAGAACAATAAGATAATATTCTGACAAGTCGCGCTCCTCGGGAGCGTGGCGATTTTCTGCCTATCGCGCGCCCTAGGCGCACGACGTTTTCTGCCCGCCGGACACCCCAAGCGCGCAACGGTTTTCTGCCCGCCGCCCGCTCTGGGCGCACAACGATTTCCTGCCCGTCGCGCGCCCCGGGCGCGCGGCAGATTCCTGTACGTCACACGCCCCAGGCACGCGACAGATCCTGCTCGTCGCGCGTCGCATGCCTCAGGCGCGCGTTGGTTTCCTGCCCGACACGCGCCCCGAACGTGCGGCGGTTTTTAGCCTGCCCACTACCCCTGCAGCCCGCGAGCCGCCCCTGCAGCCCGCGAGCTGCACCTGTAGCCCGCGTGCCTACCTCTTGCAGCCTGCGCACTGACCCTGCAGCCCGCGAGCCGCCCCTGCAGCCCGCGAGCTGCCTCTGCGGCTCGCGCGCCTGCCCCTGCAGCCGTTGGGCAGCTCCTACCCCCCCCCCCCCCCCCCCCCCCCTCCTTCTCTTTCATCTCCCTGCTGCGCGTGCAGCCGTAGGGGGAGGGTATGGGGGTGGCGGGTGTGAGTGATCAGCTGCCGCTCCTCCTCTCTCTCCCACTGCTGCAGCTGCCGCTGAGGGGGGGGGGGGGTGTGGGAGAGACGAGGGAGTGGCGCTCGGGATGCCGAGGGGTGTGAAAGGGGGTTTGGGACAATGTGAGGAGGTTGAAGGCGGGTGGGCGCCGTGAAGTCTACAGCTCCAGTCGCTCGTGAGATCGTTGCGACAGTGGCCCGTGAGTCAGTTGCTCTTGTCGACGAGCAGAGCCAGTTACTCCAGTTGCCCGTGTGCCACTTGCTCTAGTTGACCGTAGGTCAGTTGCTCTTGCCGGCCAGCAGAGCCAGTTACTCTAGTTTGCGCCGTGTGCCAGCAGCTTTCGAGGCAGCCCACCTCCTCCTCTCCTCTCATGGTCCCTCCTCCTCCTCACTTGCCCTCTGTTTCTGCCACTAGCCTTTGCTTG